GGCCTAACAAGTAAGGGCACCAGGGCTCTCCTGCTCCAGCCAGCAGCATCTACCAGGGTGTTGCATCCAGGCCGGGTAGGTGGCTCAGGAGCCTGCAGCCCTCGGCCAACCAGCAGCTGGCACTGTGGTGCCCAGGCTGAGGACTGCAGGAAAAGGGAGGTGTAAGCTCTGCACATAGGGTAGTGGAGTGTGTGTTTGTTCAGAGGCCTATGTTAGGAAATGGCAGCGCCACACCTGGCCAGGGCTTCATACAGTTCAAGGCACTTTCGAGTGTCTGAGCGCGTTTGACCCTCACCAAGTCGCAGTCAGGCGAGCAGGGAGGGAGCTGCCTCCTGCTCCCCAGGATGGGGTCCCCAGGATGAGCCACCTGGGGCTGAGAGGGGTTAGGTCTTTGCTCGGGGTGACCAGTCCTAACACATGTGAGAGTGGTGGCTTCACCCTTACACAGAGCAAAGTGATAAAATGTGCTGCAGCTCCAAGGAGCCTGGGAGTTGAAGCTCTGGGCGAAGTTCCTCCATTCTCACAGTAGGGGGCAGACCTGAGGCCTTGCTTTGAGAACCAGGTGGACAAGTCTGCCACCCCACCCTGGCCATAGACAAAAAAGAGGCCAGTTGCTCTCACTGGCGGAGCTTGAAGAGCTTCCTCAGGATGCATCTTATCTCCATCCTTCCTAGACATGGGTGGGGGGCAGAGATCTTGGTGAGGACCTCCCTGGAGCGGCAGGGCAGGGTGCTGAGTGCTGGGAGTGAGGATCTGGGTCAATCACAGCAGAGTCTTGGTGAATGCTGAACAGACTTTGAAGGAGGAAGACACAGCGATGTGTGTGGCCGAAACTGCACACATGAAGAGTTGTGTACATTTATTCCACAAGTATTTTCTGAGCATCCACTACATGCCAGTCACTGTTCTAGGTACTGGGGATACTGCAGGAAAGAACAAATAAGCACACACAGATGCCTCACAGATTGTCTTCTCTTGCGAGTGAGCTGAATATCTTGACCCCAACAAATGGAATGTAAAATTCAGCCCCTTTACCAGTTTCTAGAAAAAAACTTTTCCTTCCAAACATGGGGTGGGGTAGGGCATGTGTGTATGGGGCAGGGGGTATTTTGCTAAAGATTTATGGGGCCATGATGAGAGGCCATCACCCCTCTCACAGCCTCTCACTCTGTGAATCAATCGTCAGTGTACATGACCCTTCTCCTAAGTCCCCCTTTGGCCCTGCAGCCATCCTGGGGGTGCACTTCCCTCCCCTCATCTCCCACCATGAGCTCCCAGCCCAGCCAGCCTTTCTCCAGCAGTTTTCTCACAGACATCCAGTCTTGGGAGGGAAGGCTTTTGTGTCATTCCACTGTCACTGTTTGGTCTTGAAGGACACAGTCTGTTACTGGGAGGCCCCTACTTTCTGACATGGGGTTGTTGTCCCTCTCCCATTTCTACTTCTCAGAATTGTTCCAGGGTGAAATGACCTCGTATCTGAAAAGAACTGTACTCAGAACTCTCCAGCACTGTAGGTCATGTCAACCAGAAACACACTTGACAGTGACTTGCTCTCAGCGTTAGGTCAGCCAGCGGGAGACCAAGCACAGTGTGTTTACAGGAGGAAAGGTTGAGCATCTCCCCTTTATTTTGAATTGGATGTAATTTAGCACCTTGTCCTCACTCTTTTGTTAATAAAATAAAACAATAAACACATACTATCATCAAAAGAACATCGACAGCCTGTGTTTATGTTGTGTCTGTCTCGATTGCAACTGCTTTGTAGATTTTTAACAAAATGAGTTTTCACTCTGTGTTGGGGGGTATGATAATTAAAACAAAGAGGGAGGGCTGATTATTTTACTGTGTCTTTCATTCTTGCTCTTTCTCTTCCTTTTCTTTCTTTTTTTTTTTTTCTCCCTTAAAACAGAGATATTGACCCTTCCATTAACATTGACTTTGGCCATCTCTGACAAGGCCAAAGCAGAGAAATTGCGTTCTAAGAATGTCTGTGTTCACTCTGCGAAGACTCCAGTCGGGAGTCAGGCAAATGCTCTTTCCGTCCACTGTTCCCAGGGGCTTTATTTGCTGCTCTGCCCTACCTTTCCTGAAAAGGACCTTCCGGGGTGATCTGGACACACGAATATGTTGCCTAGGGCGAGAGATGTGTGAATGAGGAGAGCAAGGAGAGAGGAAAGGAAAGGAAAAGAAAAGAAAAGAGAAGAGAAGAGAAGAAAAGAAAAAAAGGAACAATGAGAGAGGCTAGAGAATCAGTGTAAGTGCTGTGAACTCAGTGACATGGATCACAGACACAATGGTCATTTGTACCTTTTAATTAGGAGTTCAGTCTTTTGGCTGAAAGTAACAGAAACACAGCTGTGGTTAGTTTGAGCCCCAAAGGAGGTGCTGGCTCACATGAGCTGACTGTGGAGACAGCAGAGAGGGAACAACTGGGTCCATGGACACCCTCGAGACTTGCCCCCTCCCTCCCCTCTTGGGTGTTGGTTCCACTGCAGCTCTCAGGGCTATGCCGGAGCACAGAGAGCTCCTCCCACCAGCTCCACTACTGACATAAACCCCTGAGACATCTTGGCAAACAGCAGCATACCATTTTTCAATTGTCAGATTTCAAAAATGTTAAACTCTGATACTCTCAGCTATCAGTGAAGGAATGGGAAAATGGAGACACTAATGCTCTGATACACTGCTGGGGGGTTGTAAATTGTCCCAGCCATTTTGGAGGGACAGTTGGCACTGTCTATTCTGATTTTGTGTATATATATATATATATATATATATATTTTTTTTTTTTAGAAGATGTTGGGGGTAGGAGTTTATTAATTAATTAATTAATTTTTGCTGTGTTGGGTCTTCGTTTCTGTGTGAGGGCTATCTCTAGTTGTGGCAAGCGGGGGCCACTCTTCATCGCGGTGCGCGGGCCTCTCACTGTCACGGCCTCTCTTGTTGCAGAGCACAGGCTCCAGATGCGCAGGCTCAGTAGTTGTGGCTCATGGGCCCAGTTGCTCCGCGGCATGTGGGATCCTCCCAGACCAGGGCTCGAACCCGTGTCCCCTGCATTGGCAGGCAGATTCTCAACCACTGTGCCACCAGGGAAGCCCTGATTTTATATTTTTTTAATTTATTTTTTGGCCACGCTGTGTGGCTTGCGGGATCTTAGTTACCGGACCAGGGATTGAACTTGTTCCCTCGGCAATGAAAGTGCAGAGTCCTAACCACTGGATGGCCACGGAATTCCCTCTATTCTGATTTTAAATGTGGATACTATTGCTCTGATGATGCCACTTCTCAAAATCCTGACCAGTAACTCTCAAACATGTGCATAAGGAAATATCGGCAAGGGTTATGTGGAATGTTATTTGTAGCACAAAATTAGGAATAACTTAAATGTCCATCTTTAAACCATGGTACATTTTATACTCTGAAAATATGGAAACTGTTAAAAAGAATGAAATATGTACTGACATAAGCCTCTAAGATATCTTGGTAAATGAAAAAAGTAATTTGCAGAATGACACATAATATGGTGTAACTTAAGCATAACCAAAAACAAAACATTGAAGTAATGATAGATATACCTGTGGGTATGTTTACAACATATATTTCTAATTGTATCCAAATGCATAGAAAAAGTTCTGGTGAGAGACTAAGATTAGGGGTGGAGATCGTAGGAGACTGTCAGATTTGAATTTTTTCAATGATAACACATTTATGTATTTAAACTTAATTTTTAAAACTTAAAAAGAAAAAGCTATGGAAGCATTCTAATTGGTTCAACTTGGGTCATGTGACTATCCCTAGACCAATGGACTGTGGTCAAGGCACCCCTAGGTTTTACAACTGGCCCCACGTGGGTTATACATTCAGCCCTGTGAACAGGGGAGCAACACACTTGATTGGCAGCTCTTTCCATAATTACATGTTGGAGTGGTGAAAGAGCTGTTCCCCCAAAAAAGGGAGGTGCTGTTCTAGGCAGACAAAATGGTAAGTCCCTATAGTGAAAGCTTTTGAGCCAGCATTGTCATTGTGGGTTTATGTAGGTGTTATCCAAGGCTGAAAAAATTTGTCCAATATATTTCTATTACGATATAGGATAAGGATTTGTTCTGCTCACTGCTATATACCCAGAACCCGTGGAAGTTCTGGGTATATAGTAGGCACTCGGTATAATAATAGATGTTGGTTGAATGGAGACAACACTACACTACAATAGTCTATGATTAATAGTAATCTACAAATGGATCGCTGCAAAGGCAACTCCTCCCAATGCTCTCAGCAAGGGCAGAGGGAGAAAGGAAGAGGAAGACAAACCACCAGCTCAGGACTCCTCCTCCCAAGGCCAGGGAGTTGCCATGACAAAGGCTGGGACAGTTTGACAATGACCTGGACTAGATGTGGGAGCCCCAGGCCTGACCCCAGCCCCTGTCACACCCTCTACAAGAGAACTTGATCCTGCTGGGTCCTGCACACACCCCACCTCCCTACTTCCTATGGGCTGAGGTCTTCCCTGGAAGGGCCCAACCAGCTGGAACCTTTCTTCCCGGGCCGGCCCTCCCAAGAGCATGATGGTGGGATGAGCTTCCTTTAGCCAGGTCCAGAGCGTGCCTGTCCAGGACCTCTGTGTCCCGGACCATGCAGTTATCCTGTTCATGATCTCCGCTGCCATGCACACACCCCAGCCCCTATGCCTCCTTTGCTGTTGAGTTCCCAGAATGCCTCTCACTTGAGCATGCTTTCTGAATGGAGAAATAGGGGGAAAATAATATTGTCTTAAGACAGAGCATTGAATATTATAATATTATACAAACATATACATAAATATATAATATACTGATACTATAATATTATAATGTATATAGCATCCATATTTCTATATAGTTTATTTTTGGGGGTTGAGACTTCATTGTAGATATACAATTTTGTATCTCTCTCTCTCTCTCTCTCTCTCTCTCTCTTTTTTTTTTTCACATAACACCAAATCACAAGCATTTTTCCAGGTCATAAAAAACTTGTGAAGGCATTTTAATTAAGGCCAGGAGAGGCCAGTGTAGAAACCAGTGTATATTTCTAGGCAAAGGAGTGGAGGGAGGAAACACAACGATGCTGCAGGGTGAAGGAGTTCAGCCAAGAGTCCAAGTGGGGCCGTGAGGGAGGGTGCTGAGGCGGCAGGGCTCGAGGTATCCTGGTCGAGGAGACAAATTGCCTCCTGCTTTACTTTCACTCCTGCTCCAGTGACCCTCAAGAGACCAGGCAGTGAGCCTGTCTTTAGGTTTGATGGATTTTCTGGTTGGAGAAACTTGAGAATTTTAATTGTGGCAACCAAACCGATTTACTTGCAGAATGCTGGGCTGAGTCTGGCTTGCCTGAGTCTTCTGTAAGAAACCAAGAGGAGCTAGAGGTGTGCGTGTCTGGTGGAGACGAGAAACCCAAGCCAGGTAGCCCACGAACTGTGCAGATTCCAGGATGGGTCTTCAGATAGCTTTCCTTCACTTCCCGCCAGCTTGTCCCCTCCCCAGCCTTGTCACCGCTGGCCACCTCAACTCCCACAGCTGGGAGTCTGCACTGATGAGCACCTCCATCCTTTGCTGTCATCATTACCCAGCATTTGATGAGTGTCATTCATTCATTCAAAATATTTATTGAGCAGCTCCTGTCTGTCAGATAGCAGGTTATGCTGTTGTTATAAGACACATCCTTGTCCTCAAGAAGCTTCCATCTATCCAGTAGTCAGATCAAGGGACCACAGAGGTCACCCAACCTTTTGTCTGACTAACAGGAACCACCCCTGCCCCTGCCACGGTGAACTGATGACGGCTTTGCACGCTTCCCCAGAAAAATACACACATGCAAAGAGGTTTGCATACAATTGAGGGCAGCACCAACTTCCTGGACCCATTTATGATTTAAGGATCTATGTTCAAGCAAACACTTGATCTGATTTAACCAACTTATTTTACAGATCAGGAAACTAAGACCTAGAGAGAGAAATGACTTGTTCATAGTGGATTAGGGGCTGAGTCAGCCCTAGAAGCCAGGATTACTGGCTCCTCAGACACTGCTCCACCGGACCTCCTCTCTCTTCCCTGTGGGCTGGAGGAAGCTGGCTGGAGAGGGGACATGAGCCAAGCCCTGGGGTGCCCAGCCTATAGGTTCTCGTCTTCACCAGCCCTCTGGCTCCTGGGGGATACGGGCTGGTAGTCAGGAGCTCCCTGAGCAGTTGCTCTGACCCTGATCATCCCAACAGGTTCCCCCCAGACGTCAAGGGAAATGTTGTGGAGGGAACAGGATGTGTTTTCCTGCAAAATCATTTGTCTCACAAGATGATTTGCATACTGGTGGGGACACAAATGTCATTCCCTGCCCATTTCCTCCCTAGAGAAAAGTGTTCCCATCATAGCTTTCCCTTCAAGGGAGGAGACAGCTGTGTGGGCCCAGTCCCAGCCCCAGGGGACAACTTCCCCCATAGAGGGGAATCAGATGTTAGTGAGGGCTCCTGGAAGTAAGGAGGCTCCTTTATTTGACCTCTTCCCACTCCCAGGGCTTGGCTGGAAGGGGCTTTTGGCTCCAGCTCTGGCAAACAGCCTGCTTCTGTGATCCCTGGAGCCCTGGGCATCCCACCTTGCTCTATATTATTGGAGTTAAATTACTGGAGAGTCAGCTGCTAGAAGAGAGGGTTGAGGTGATGATAGGTGAAAAGTAATAACAAATACTTAGTGCTTACTCTGTGCCAGACATTACTGTAAGCTTGTTACATGTATTGTAAATTCATTTAATCCTCACAACAATCCAGTGAACTTGGGTCTGTTATTTTTCCCATTGTCTACATGAGAAATCAAAGTTCAGAGAGGTTAAATACCTTGCCCAAGGTCACACAGCTGGTAAGCTACACAGCCAGGATATGAACTCAGCCAATCTGCTTCCTAACTAGGGACTCTAAACGCTGTGTTATAAGAGGGAGAGTTAGAAGACTGAAGGATTATTCTAACCCTTGAGGGCAGTGCTATAGTCCAGAAACATGGGCATGGCATTCAAGGCCCCTTATGATCTGGTTCCAGCCACACTGCTCCTACTGTGATCCATTACGAAACACTCCATGAACCTGCCCCAACTGTTCTGCACTTACTGTTTCCCCTGTCCAGACAGCACTTCCCCATTTCTCTGTCTGAAATGTCTATCTGAAACCGTGCAACTTAGATTGGGACTTGAACTCACAGTCTTCTAACTGAGATCACACACCTGGTCTCAGGACTTAATGAAACTCAGATTCTTGATGTCTTATCACAGAAAGAATTCAGTGAGAGACAAAGTGATAGGTAAGAAGTGGATTTATTTAGAGGGAAACACACTCCACAGACAGAGTGTGGGCCATCTCAGAAGGCGAGAGTGGTACCAGGGTATGGGGTTGTCAGTTTTTATAGGGGTGGGTAATTTCATAGGCTAATGAGTGGGAGGAGTATTCTAGCTATTTTAGGGAAGGGGCGGGATTTCCAGGATTTGGGCCACCACCCACTTGTTGACCTTTTATGGTTGGCCTTGGAACTGTCATGGCGCCTGTGGGTGTGTCATTTAGCATGCTGATGCGTTACAGTGAGTGTGTACTGAGGCTCAAGGTCTAGTGGAAGTCTTTTTTTTTTTACATTTTAATTAATTAATTAATTTTTTAACATCTTTATTGGAGTATAATTGCTATACAATGGTGTGTTAGTTTCTGCTTTATAACAAAGTGAATCAGTTATACATATACATATGTTCCCATATCTCTTCCCTCTTGCGTCTCCCTCGCTCCCACCCTCCCTATCCCACTGCTCTAGGTGGTCACAAACCACCTAGCTGATCTCCCTGTGCTTTGCGGCTGCTTCCCACTAGCTATCTATTTTACGTTTGGTAGTGTATATATGTCCATGCCACTCTCTCACTTTGTCACAGCTTACCTTTCCCCCTCCCCATATCCTCAAGTCCATGCTCTAGTAGGTCTGTGTCTTTATTCCCGTCTTAACCCTTGGTTCTTCATGACCTTTTTTTTTTTTTTTCTTAGATTCCATATATATGTGTTAGCATATGGTATTTGTTTTTCTCTTTCTGACTTACCTCACTCTGTATGACAGACTCTAGGTCCATCCATCTCACTACAAATAACTCAGTTTCTCCAGTGGAAGTCTTGTCTGCCATCTTGGACCTAGTTGGTTCTAACCATTTATGTCATGTCCTGTGGCTATGTCATTCTTTTAAAGGTTGTGCCCTGCCCCCTGCCCTCCTATTTCATATCTACTGAGAACCTCTGAAAAGCCCTTCTATCTGTAGGCCGAGTCAGGCAGGCCCTTTTCTTTCTTTTTTTTCAATGTGAGTGACTCTCATCAAATTGTCCTCTAATTATTGGCTAATGAGTCTGTCTTACTTCTAGATTTTGCTCCTAAGGGCTGATATCTGTTTTATTCATTTCAGACTCCTCAACATTAAACCCAGTACTTGCTAAATACTCAGCAGATGTCTGTTATGTACAGTGAACAAAGCATGTTGCAAAATAATATGTACAATTTGCTAAATATTGTATTGTGTACACTGTAAATGTATCACAATCCAGTTATATCCCAAAATGTTAACAACGATTTTCACAGAATTTGGGCTTTACAGGTGATTTTTATTTGTTTGTTTGTATATCTGCATTCTCCAAAACTTCCATAATGAGCAGGTATTACTTTTGTAATACCAAAGGCAAACTAAATTTAAATTATTTTTAAATTGTTTTGGAATGAGTAATAATGCTAATAATTTTTGAGCACTTAACACATAAAAAAATTAAGGACTTTATATGTACTGTCTCTAATGCTCACAACAGTTCTCTTTGGTAAGTAATATTGGCATTATTACCATTTTACAGATGAGGAAACTGAGGTCCAGAGAGATCAAGTAACTCACTCAATGTGACACAATTAGTAAATAGTGGGGTTGAACTTGGAGCCCACCTTGTCAGACTCAAGAGCCTGTACTATAACCTCTCTGCAACCACCCTTTAGATGGAAGATAGGTAAAAGGAAAATTTCTCCTTTTAAAAAATCGACCTTCTATTTTGAAATAATTTCAAACTCAGAATAGTATAATGAACTTCTGAATATCCTTCTCCAAGATTTAGCAGTCATTAATGTTTTGCCACATTTGCTTTATCGCTCACTTTCTTTCTCTCTCTTCATATATATGTATTATTATTTTTTATAATAGCTTTATTGAAGTATTACGTCTCATACAATTCACCCATTTAATGTGTACAGTTCAATGGTTTTTAGTGTATCCACAGATATGTGCAACTATCACCACAGTCAACTTTAGAACATTTTTGTCACCTCAAAAAAGAAATCCTATATCCTTTAGGTATCTCCCCCATAAACCCCACTCCCCCCAGCCCTAAGAAACCATGAATCTGCTCTCTGTTTCTATAGATTTGCCTATTCTGTTCAACACATTTTGGACATGGAATTATATATGTCATTTTTGTGACTCACTCTTTCACTTAGCATAATGTTTTCAAGATTTATCCTTTCATACTGCATTCCTTTTTACAGCCAAGTAACATTCCGGTATATAGATATATGCTACATTTTATTTATTCATTCATCAGTTGATGGACATTTGGGTTTTTTCTACATTTTGGCTATTATGAATAATGCTGCTATGAACATTTGTGTACAAGTGTGTGGACATAAGTTTTCATTTCTCTTGGGTATATACCTAGGAATGGAATTGCTGGGTCTCATGCTAATTGTATGCTTAACTCTTTGAGGAATATTAATGTGCATATTATTACCTCTGGACCATTTGAGAGTTAAGTTGCAGACAGGCCCCTTTATCCCTAAATACTTCAGAGAAAACAGACCAAGGACATTCTTTTTCATAACTACATTTCAATGATCAAATTTAGGAAATTTAACATGGGTATAATATTACCACCTATTATATGGTCTATATTTAAATTTTGCCAGTTATGTCCTTTTAAAGCGGCAATTTTTTTTCCTGATCCAAGATGCAACCCAGGATCACGCATTGCATTAGGTTGTCTTTGTCTCTTCCAGTTTGGAACAGTTCCTCAGCCCTTCTTTATCCTTCTGTGGCTTTGTAAAATGCCCCTCAGTTTAGATTTATCTGATGTCTGGCTGGCTGAGCTTCCAGTGTCCATTTGGTGGGCGCTGAGGTCAGGTCTGGCAGCTGCAGACCGGAGAAGCCCGGCCAGGGCACAACCTCAGGGGAGGAGCTTAGGGGAAGCTGAAGGAACTAGGGAGGGGACACCACAGTGGAAGATTACCCACCTGGAGGATTTCCTGGGAAGTGCCCCGAGAAAGACTGGCTCTGTGGGGACTTCTCCCTCACCCTTTCCTGGGAACTGCTAAGAGGGAACGAGAGGGTGTGTCTCAGGGCCAAGTGCTTCCTGTTGTGGCTTCACAGAGGACTCCTGAGGCCTCGACCAGCCTGGGCCCCGCCTGGGAAAGGCTGCAAAGAGAGACGTGGGGATGTCCGGGAAAGGGCGGGTGGGGGAGACCAGCAGGCCCAGTGCTAGGAAGGAGCTGCCCCTTTCTGGGAAGGACTTTGATGCAAGAGCCCACCCCTATACCCCTCCCTCTCCCGTGCCCTGCCCTCCAGCTTCCGGCAGCCCCAGCTCGGTTCTCTGGAAGGCATTGGGGAGAGAAGGCTGCCGCGAATTCTAATCAGGCAGGAGATGGAGATGGGGAGCTGGAAAGCATCTTGCTTCACTTGGCCCTGAGCCTGTTTGTTCCGCAAGGACTCCCAGCCCAAGGCCCTGCCGACCTTTGCAAGAGGCCTTCTAGGAGTTCCGTCAACGTGATGGAGAGGAACAGAATCTTCAATCCTGATCCCCAGCTGCCAGGCAAAGTTCTGCCTGAGGCAGCAGTGGCTTGTCCATTTGTTCATTCATTCATTCATTTTGTAGCTGGAGATCCCTGTTCCTCAACCTTCTCTCTCCCTCTTGGGGAAGAGGCTCGGTGGGGCTCCCAGGTGGCCATCCTGTACCCAGCTTGCTTCTGTTGAGAACACCTGTCCTCAGAGCCCCAGAGGACCTGCCCTCCTTCAGCTCCAGGGCCTTGGGTTCAAGCCAGGCCAGGGCTGAGCCGACCCCAGCTCAGTTTACAATGTGGTAACCGACACCACCTGGGAAGGGCAGAGCCTTAGGGAGCCAACCAGAAAGGAGTAAAGCAGGGAGACGAGGAAGGATGCTAATACTTTGAGCACAGAGTGAGCCCAGAGACCAGCAGGCATCACCTGAGTTCATGCTCTGGCCACCAGCATTCAAGCTCTGTTCTGTCCTCACAGGCTGTTGACAATTGGAAAAGTTCATGTAAAAATCCAGACTTCTGATTTTTCTTGACAAATGAAAAGATCTGGCAACCCTGAGCCTGCGTTCTGTGTGGCAGCCATGGTAAGTCAGGAAACTTTATTGTTGAAGTTCTCTTCACTCCTTCTATTACCTGCCTATTCCCCAAGGGCACCTGTGATCTCTTTCAGGCTTCACCATCACCTTGTGAGGCCAGAGACATTAACCCCACTTTATACATGAAGAAAGCAAGGGGAGAGGTCAATAACCTTGCCAAAGGTCCTGGCCAGGGAGAGGCAGAGCTGGGCTTCTCACCCAGGTAATCTGCTTCCCGGTCCATGCTCTCTGCATTCCCCTCAACTTTTTCCTGGTCAGAGAGCTGGTACTCCCAGCAGCAGCTGGATGGACTGCAGATGCAGACAGCAAATGAAAACCCTCTGGCTGCCCAGGTCTGGGGTTTCGTAGGCCTCAGCAGAGTCCTAAGCTGGGCGAACCAGCTCTCGGCGGAGGCTCTGGAGAGGCAATTCTTTACCCATGCATGGAGCCGGAAGTGATTGGTCAATGGTCTCACCACCACTCAGGCAGGCGAGAGGACCTGGGCACCTCTGGTCAGTCTAGGTGGTGTCTCCCTTCCTGGCTTCTCTCCCCTTCGCTGGAAGCAGGCTCCCTCTGGCAGCATCTTGCTCCATTTGGCCTTTCTGCCACACGTGGTGCAAACTGGTGGTGCAAACGGGCCAAAACCATCGCAGTCTGCAAATCACAGCACAGTCCAGACCAGTCAGGCTTGCTCGAGCAAAGCACTCTTTCTGGTCAGTGGTACGTTCTCCTCCTGGAGAGGCTGGCTGACCCTTTTCCTGGAAGGGCTTGTCCAGTATTCTCCAGCAGTTTCTAGGAATGAATGGAGGAGCAGTGCCTGAGGATTACAGGGTTCCAAAGGAAGCAGGGTAACTACTTTATAAAAATAGCTCAGCTGTGTGTGGCACCTTACGGTTTATAAATCCTTTCACATCCATTATTATGTGTATTATTTGGTTCTCAAAACTTGATGAGCCAGATAGAGCAGTAATTGGCAAATATAGATCATCTAGGAAAGGGCACGTAATTCTGAGTTCCATTCTCAATCCTGCCACTTACCTTGAGCAAGTTCACGCCCTCTCTTTTAGCTTTTATTTCCTCATTCACTAAAAAAGATAACAAATTTTTTTATAATGGGTGAACTATGGGGTTTTTTTTAGTTTAAATAAATTTAATTTAAAAAGATAATAATCTCTCCCAGCAAGGCTACTCTGCTTTATAACTCCAGGGGGTGCTATTTACATGGAATACCATGTGATGAGTCCCCTTGAAATTGTGCCACAGGTGGAACTCCTCATATGCATGTCATGAGGATTAAATGACATAATTTATGTGCTAGCACACGGTCTGGGAGATAGTAGGTGATTAACAAATGCTTGCCAAGTGAATGAACTGCTCCCTCAGTCACGATGGATTTTGAGAGGCGCTCACAGGAAGAAGGAAGTAGTACTGGCTCCCTGTGGCTGGTGTTGAATTTCCTGCCCATTCTTCTGTGACTCTTGCCAATTTGCCCTTTGTCCTAGGCCTCTGGGCTCCCAGCTGGCTGGAGGCACAGACTTATCTGTGGGGACTGGAGAGTTGGGCCTGGGCTGGGTAATGACCAGCCTTCCGCTCACTTGAAGTTTCCGCTGGGGGGCTGGAAGCCACAGCATCCAGATGGCTAATTGCTTTGTGCCTGTTTCTGCAAATCACAGTGATTCACTGTCCCTGCTGAAAACATGCTCTCTTTTCAAAGATTTAATGGTTTCCAAAATTAATTTAGCCTCATCTGTTATGCCCCTGCCCTTCTGCACTGTCCCCTTCCCCCCCAGCATCCTCCCCTGTCCCAGGACGGAGCTTTCTGCTCCAGAAAGCCGGCTTTCACTCTGCTAGGCATAGTGGAGAAGGTTGGGGAGCACAGACCCCTTTCCAGGGTCACCTGAGCACACACTCAGTGTGGACTTTTTGGGAAGAAGCCTAGGAGGGAAGGGCTGATGTCAGGGACACACTTATCTCTCACCATCCTACATGGTTTTGGCCACCCAACCCACTGACACTCCTAGACAAAGAACTCCAAGGAGCTCCCGTTTGCACTGCTTTGCTTATAAAACTCCTAAAGATCATCTGTTTTTTACATGTGAGGGACATGGTCAGCTTTGTTTGTTTTAGACAGCTCATTATGGGTCCATGAGACCTTGGGACCAGATCCCTGGCTAAGAGGCCAGATTTTAAGGAGTTTACCTCCATCCGATTCTGTATTGTTTCTTGACTATCTTTAGGCTTCTGTTCTTCCCCAGTAACATAAAGGTGATATAATCCCTACCTCTGCCCACTGTTCATTTATTTAATAAATAGCTACTGAGTCTCTCTGTATATCAGGCATGTGCTAGGGATTGAGGGTACAGTAGCAAAAAAGCTCCACAATCCTGGCCCTTCCAGAACTCAACTTGCAGTCTAGAGTGGAGAAAGAAAAGGCCCGTGGCCAGCAGGCTGATATATTCTCTGTGAGGGAACATCAGGGGCTAAGGGAGCACCCCATCTCCTGGAGCCAGGAAAGGCTCCCTGAGGTCATGCCTGAACTGAGTCCTAAGTGATTAGAAGGTGTTATCTTTTTTTTTTTTTTTTTTGCGGTACGTGGGCCTCTCACTGTTGTGGCCTCTCCCGTTGTGGAGCACAGGCTCGGGACGCGCAGGCTCAGCGGCCATGGCTTACGGGCCCAGCCGCTCCGCGGCATGTGGGATCTTCCCGGACCAGGCACGAACCCGTGTCCCCTGCATTGGCAGGCAGACTCTCAACCACTGCGCCACCAGGGAAGCCCTAGAAGGTGTTATCTTGAAGAAGAAGAAAAAGAAAGAGGAGGAGGGGAAGAGGAAAGATGAGCAGTGTCCAGGTAGAGGAAATAGCATATGCAAAAGCCCAGGGCAGGAGAACGGTTCATACTGAGGATCTGCAAACCAGTGCAGCATGACTGGCAGAAAGACAGAGCAGGAGCGGTGAGGAGGGCAGCTGGAGACAAACACGGAACTAGAGCAGCAAAGGCCTTTTAGCACCTAATGGAATCACTGTGGTGTTTTAAGCATGGTCCAATGTGTGCTCTGGAGAAATCACTCTGGCTGCGGTGTGGAGAATGGATTGGATGGGGTAAGACTGGAGGTAGGAAGGTCAGGTATGCAATGGCTGCATCTCAAAAGCATTCTGAGACCCTGGGTGAGATACTGCTAACCATTTTTTTTTGTGTGGTACGCGGGCCTCTCACTGTTGTGGCCTCTCCCCTTGCGGAGCACAGGCTCCAGACGCACAGGCTCAGCGACCATGGCCCACGGGCCCAGCCACTCCGCGGCACATGGGATCCTCCTGGACCGGGGCACGAACCCGTGTCCCCTGCATCGGCAGGCGGACTCTCAACCACTGCGCCACCAGGGAAGCCCTCTTTCTATTATTAACATCTTACATTAGTATGGCACATTTGTCACGATTAATGGACCAATATTGGTACACCATTATTAGTTAAGTCCAATCTTTATTCAGTTTTCCTCAGTTTTTTTCATTTCCTTTTTCTGTTTCAGGATCACATCCAAGATACTACGTTATCTAGTTGTCATGCTTCTTTAGGCTCCTCTTGACTGTGATAGTTTCTCAAAATTTCCTTGTTTTTGATGACTTTAGTAGTGTGGGGGAGTACTGGCCAGTTATTTTGTAGACTGACCTTCAGCTGGGATTTGTCTGATGTTTTTCTCACGATCTGACTTGGAGTATGGATTTTTGGGGGAGGAAGACCACAGAGGTGAAGCACTGTTCTCATCACATCATATCAAGAGTATGTATATCGACATGACTTGTTACTGTTGATGTTGACCTGATAACCTGGCTAAGATAGTATTTGACAGGTTTCTGCACTGTAAAGTTACTCCCCCCACTACTTTCCATACTGTTCTCTTTGGAAGGAAGTCACTATGGGCAATCTACAACTTAAGGATTGAGGAGTTATGCACCACCTCCTTGAAGGCAGAGAGTATCTACACATGTTATTCGGAATTCTTCTACATGGGAGATTTATCTATTATCCCTCATTTATCTAATTATTCAATTATTTATTCATATTAGTATGTACTAATGGTTTCCAAAATTATGTACTAATATTGAATATTCATTTTATACTTTGGGTTATAATGAATATTCATTTTATACTTTGGGTTATAATATGATAATGTCTTATTTTCTCGTTCAAATTGTTACAACTTTAGCCATTAGGAGCTCTTTCAATTGGCTCCCGTGTTCCTTTGTGTTCTCTACTGCACCACCTCCCCCTATCATTGTGGAGTTTTGAGTACTTCCTTACTTTTTGGCATTATAAGATGCTCCTGGACCATCCTGTATATTTCCCGCCCCAGTTCTAGAATCAACCATTTCTCTGAGGTGACCTGGTCCTTTTATTGGAGAATGGTATTAGAAACCAAGATCTGGGTGCTAGGTGTGCTCATTGCTACTGGGACGTCATTGCTTCTACATCCTCTCAGCTGACATAGCAAGGAAATAGATGTGTATACTAACCCATGTATGTACGTATATCTATAAATATTTCCATATGTAACCATCTGTATCAATATTAAGTTAAGCATGATTTCCCACTTATGTCTTCAATTCTAATTCATTACCACATGGATCATTCTAGCCTTCTCTTATTTGTCTATAAACATCTATTCCAACAATAAGAAATCTGGCTCCCACCATCTTCCATTCATTTAATTATTCAATTCCAATGTACATGTGTTTTCAACCACCCACTTTTTAAAGTAGGAATTTAATTATTCCCAAACTACTTATTTCACATATCCAAGATTCCATAAAGGACTTTATGATACTCTGTCCTTACAGTCCCTGACCTGTGCCAACCCAGTTTGCCAAACTAAAATGCCAATTCTCACATTGATGTCCTCTCCAGGATTTGGGTTGATTGTTTTTTTCTGGTCTCTTTCCAGCTGAAATGTCCTTCTGTAGGTCTACTGACAAGAATGCATCATCCCAGATATTCCCTGAGTAACAAACCCTTATTCTACCAAATCTATGCCTAAATGGTTGAGCAGGTGGTATAAAAGGTAGAGCTTGTCTCTGCTGGGAGAGAGGAGTGCGTTCTCCACATTCTTCCTCACAAAGTTCTCAGAAGCCACTTTGGCTGTAATGAGAGATAGAAGTATCCCTTAATGGTGTGTTCCCATATCACCACACACCACACCGCCTGAGGCAACACCGCTATAAATAGCACTTGGTCTCCTTACTAGTCCACCACAGCCGAGTTAACCCAGACATGATGGAGACTTGGTGGGAAGAGGAAAAAGCAGAAAAACAAATAAAGCGAGAAGAGGAGAGGAAAAAGGACAATGGAGAAAGGGCAGTGATGATATTAATAACGTATATAATTAATGATTTTAATAATTACTTACATTTGCAAAAAACTTGAACATGCATGGTTTCATTTATTTCATTAAGTATAATGACTCATAAAAGTATATATTTAGTTTTAACCTATATCTTAGGTTATTGGCTTTTGTGTGTTCTAGATTTAGGGATAGGTACATGATCCAAGCTGCGCCAATGAGAGTTGGCTCTGGGACTATTGCTAGAACTGTTGGAAAAGAAGCGTGTTCTCTTTCCATTGGGATTATACAGTAAGTGTGAATGGATGGTCAATATATCTAGTTATTTGTTTGCTTATTTATTTGTTTATATGCATAGAAGAAGATCTGAAGACAGTATCCCAAAATGTTAACATCAATTAATTTTTGGTGATAGGGTAATTGGTGATATTTATGGTTTTTACACGGTTTTTACACATGTATGTATTATTTATATTTTCTATAAAGTCGTATATTACATTTATATTAAATAGATTTTTCCTGTTATAAATTATTGTTTTTAATTATTTTATAATATACTTATGTTACAAAACATAAGTACATAGAAATATGTTTATAATATATTGTTATCTAAATAATAGATTAGTGTAATTTTTACACTAATATAAGACAGAAGTCCTTTACCCCCTAAGGTCCATTTATTCTTTCCCTTGGTTACTGACTCAAACCCAGTTCCCTACGCCTGGTAGGACATGCATCCTTAATCACAGGACGATCCAGTGTCCTAGAACAACTTTTTTCAAAATAAAGGTTTTTACCTTTTCAAAGTAAAGTATTTATGAAAAAGGTATTTTTCAAAATAAAATACAATATTTAGGAACTGAGAGGTTCTATTGGTTTTGTCCACATCCCATCAGACGCTAGACCTCATCAAAGAACAGGCTGTGTTCTCGGCTGGCAGTGGCAGGAGGACCAGGGATAGAGGGACCAGTTTTGTAGTCATTTTAGAAGGAGCTCAGTAGGTTTTTTCCATCCCTGCCAGAGAGCGGAACAGCTCCCACCCCACAACGGAAGAGAAACAGCTCCAGTGGCAGCCCCGTTCTTCCTGGGTTCCCTCCTCCAGTGTTTACGAGAACTCCTGGGAATTCTCCACAGACTGGGCTGCCCTCCCTGCCAGTCGCCCGCTCAATCCTGCGCTCTCCCACTGTGGACACAGGCCCCACCCTCAACTCCCCAAAGCACAGCCAAGGCCAGGCTGCAGCATTAACAAAACTCCCCATAACCCCTGAAGAGATGCCACTCATTCCAAAAGAAAACCACCTTTTATAATAATGACACAGAGCCTGTAGTTTCACATTGTTCTGAATTGCATTGTCTCTTTTCCAGAACAGGTTTAAGTTTTATCCCTGCGTAACGCGAAGTCCTATTAAAATATTTTCCTAAAAACAAAAGGGATTATTCCCACAAGAGCAATTTGCTTCCACCTCCAGAAAAGATAGAGGAACTGGGATTAAAAACCCAAACCCACACAGTATAGCATAGCAATTTGTCCTCTTTTCACACCATTGCAGTTTTCAAAAACAGGAGAGACCACTTTCTACACATTTTCGTATCTACCTATTTGGAAACAAAAGCGTGAGTCTGACAGAGGGTCAGGGGCTTGGCTGGGGGGTGGGGAATGGGGGGTGGGGAGTGGGGGGATGGGGTGTGGGGTGTGGGAGAGACTCAGGAGGCGGGTGGGAGGTCAGTGGACACAGAAAGCACCAGGTTCCCAGAGGCTGGCACTTGGAGTCAGATATGGGGAGAGAGGAACAGACAGTAATCACAGTCAGTTTGCCTGACCACTGAGTGTTTGTTATTTCATCTTCAAAGGAGGCACCTGGGAGAGCCAACCTCTCAGACCCCTTCCAGCTCCCGAACTCTCCATACCTCAGCCAGGTCAGGGAGGTAAGGGGCCACCTCCCCAGGTGTAGGTCTCCACAGACCTTTTTCCGGGATTGCATCAGCGCTCATTCTTCCACCTCCAAGGGCGCCTACACCTCCCTCCTCCGCTCCCAAAACTTCTTAGGTTGAGATAACACGCTTTTGTTCTCTCGCTGACTCCACACCCATGGGGAGAGGGAATGAGGAAACCTTCGGGAAAGTTCGGCCTATCTGATGAAGGTAAGAGGTAGGAGGCTGCCCCATTACTCCTCACGCCTTCCAGGTTCCCGAGGGCCCCCGCCCGATTCAGGAGGCGTTTCTGGGCTTGGCTTCCTGGCAGGTGAGGCTTGCAGGCACTGGGGGTGCTCAGGAGGGTGGTGAAGGCCCTGGGCTCATAAATCCTCATCTTGGGGATTCATTACGGATTTTTTTCCAAGGACTCCACCAAGGAGGAGGTGGGTGTCTTCTAATGGCTTCTCATCAGACTCATGATCAGGTCCAAACTTCTCAGCCTGGCATCCTGGATTCTGCAGAATCTTGCCTTGGCCTTCCTTGCCAACCCTGTCTTCTGCTATTCTTCCCAGACCCACTGAGCTGTAGCTACATAAAACTGCACTCTTGCCCTGGACATGTTATACGTGTTCATGCCTCTGTGGCTACTTTGCATATTCTGTTTCCTCTGTCTGGAGTGCCCACTGCCACTTCTTCTCTTAGAGAACTTCTATTCATCCTTCAAGAGCCTACTTAAAAGTCATCTGCCTCTTCAAAGCCTTACTTGATCCTCAGGGTTGGTTGCTCTGTGCTCCAAGGCATAGGGTTTCTTCCCTGGCTCACCACCCAGTAGGGTAATTATTAGGATTTGCATGTTTAAATTCCTCCTAGTTGCTCCTCTAGGGCAGAGACTGTGTCATTCACCTTTGTAAACCAGTGCTGGGCTCTAATAATTCCTCTGGCAATATTTGTGTAAGAATGAACACAATTTCTGCTGCATTTGTGGTATTACTGAGTAGTATTAAGAGAATGCTTCAGTTACCATGGACATTTCCTGGCCCACAGCGCTATGTCTCCAGACAAGGGTCGTATATCTGTGAGTCTATGTATTCACACAGCATCAGTACGGTACTCCTCAGATAGTTTTACATGTGTTTTATTTATTTTACACATTTACCTGATGGGTGGTTATTACAGTTACCATCATAAGATGAAGAGACTGAGATGCCAAGAGATTAAGCAACATCATGTTCAATGTTATAGTACATGCGTGGCAAAGCTGGAACTTGAACCCAGGTATTCTTGCTGCAAGAGCCGTAAGATCTCTGCCTACACCAGAGGTTCTCAATAATGAGTCTTTGAATCAGCAGATCAGCCTCACCTGGGAACTTGTTAGACATGCAAGTTGGGCCCACCCCAGGCCTACTGAATCAGAAACTTCTAGGGTGGGCTCAGCAATGCCTGTTTTGACCACCTGCAGGTGATTCTGTTGCATGGTCAAGTCCAAGAACCCAGGCCTACATCATCGTAGCTACTCCAGTGGCTGTGCAGAGCCAGAGGAGGGCGCTCCAAGGCAAACCTTTATCCCTGAATAGTCATGGCAACTGGAATGGAAATCTAGCCCCAGGTAGAAGGGAAGAAAACCCGTGGACTGGGAGTTAGGAGCCAGAGTTCTAGTCTCACCGGTTCTGCGATTATTGATGGTGATTTTGAGCACCTCTGTGGGCCTCAGTTTTCTCATCTGTAAAATGAGGATGTTGACAAAATGATCTCATATCTAATTTCCCTTTATGCTCTGTTATTCAACTCTCCTTTGGAATGTGTTGTCCATGCCAGCGGTGGAATGAAGACGGGGTATGAGTGCTCATTTTACATGAATTTTTCCCATACTTGGAAATTGACCATTTCCAAATTCCAAATCCTTGGACGAGCTATCCTCTACCATCTTCTTCCTTAAGGGCAGGAAGTGGGAGCAAACATTTGAGTTGACTCATGAAACTTTATTAGGGCAAAGAATAGAAAACCGTTTGATGACACTGCTTTGGACCCCCTTCTGTTGCCCGAGGCTCCTCCCCTGGGCCTTTTCCCTGATTCCTCTCCTGTCTCCTGCTTCCCCACTGGGACTATGCCAGACCCTCTTGCTCACAGGACCATCTCCCTGTCCTCCCTGTGAACTCATGTGCGTTCCCTGCCCCTCGACATGGGGTTGCCCAATTCACAGGCCTTGCTTACTCACCATCCTTCTGAGGAAGGGGGAGGGATGATGTGTCAGGGTGACTTCCTAGGTGCACCAGGGGCTCAGTGGCCGAATGGGGGAGCCCATGGATACCATTAAGCCTTATCCTACTGTTTTCATGTGGACCTGAGGGCTCTCCCAGGAGTGCACCTACTAGTGGGTGGGGCTGTGCCTCCTGCGTACCTGGTGGGGCCCAGCATTTAACTGGCAGCTGGATAACCTCCTGCGTACAGCAGGCTGAAAAGAAGAAAGAATGCCTCCTGCCCCTTTGAGATGATGGAGATTCAAGACAAGTAATGGCATTGTAAAAGTAGAGCCCTGAATCTGAAAGGTGGGTTGAAGAATTTTAATCACTCAGGACCTGGGTGTCAGCAGGAGAACATGGCTGAGCGCTCAACCTGAGAGGCTGTGAGAATGTGGGTAGTTCTAGAAGTCAGTCAAGGGAGATATCGCCTTCAGGAAAACCACACGTGCCAGATAAACAGCCAGAGTATCTGTCAAATCAGCATCATCCTCAGAGAGAGACTTTCAGCATGAGGTGTCCAGAGTCCAGGAAAAGCCTAAAAAGTGCAGAACATCACGTGTTGCTGGCAGCCCTTGGGTTAAAAGCCAAAGAAGGTGGTTCTTAAACAAGGTCCCAGGAAGAGCAGGAGCTAATGCTGATTCTTCATCAGCTGAAGCTCAGTGAGGCTGCATGTGTCAGCTGCAAGTGACCCAGGGAAGCTGGATACCTCTTGGACTGTGCATCGGTGGAACTACACGTTAATAAAGAATATGTGTATATTCCAAACTCATCCGATTGTGTACATTAAATATCTTCAGCTTTTTGTATGTCAATCATACCTCAATAAAATGATTTTTTTTTAAAAAAAAGAATATGTACGTGGATTTGTGTGTAGCTATAGCTTCTAATATACCCTCTAAATCAACCCAGTACCCTGGATTCCCATGTTAACACCTTTGGTTGATGGCTGCTCTCTTTGTCCATCCTGAGCCCCCCACAGTGGGCCTGGTAGTTGAGTTTAACCTGGAACCTGATGACCTGCCTCAGTGGCCCTGGGACTTCCCAGGATCCAGGGGGCTTGAAGGCCTGGGGAAGAGCCAGGCATCAGTTAAGCTTTCTGGCACTGCTCCAGGCTGAGTCCCTCCCCTCTCCCGTCTCCCCAGTCTGTTCCTGTCCCAGCTCAGCCTGAAATTGGCCTGCTCTCCTGCAAGACTTCTATTAAAGGAGTCTTCTGCATATGTTCAGAATGGATTTCAGCCTCACTCCTTAGAATCTCCTAAACATCCTACTCTCCCACTTATATGAC